GGGCCCGACAACGAAAAATGGAAGGCAGCCATGGCAGCAGAGGTAGCAGCACTCCAGCGTCGCGGGACTTGGAAGCTCGTTCCCTGATCATCCGCAAAGGGGAGGAAGGTTCTCAGCGGAAAATGGGTCTTCCGGATTAAAACACTCACAGACGGCTCAATTGACAAATACAAGGCAAGATGGGTTGTGCGGGGCTATGGCAGCAGCAGGAAGGTTTTCCAGAAGTCCCTCTACGGCATCAAGCAAGCGCCTTGCTTGTGGCAGCAGTACCTGCACACTGTTCTCACGAAGCTCGGATTCGTTCAGCTGCCGCATATCAAGGCATTTACCGAAAGGAATTACGCAGCAAATTCATCCTCCTCGTCGCCTAGATTGATGACCTACTCTACACCGGCGACGACACGGAGCTACTTGTCTGGTTCGAATAAGAAATCAAGGAGGAAGTGGAGGTGACAATCAACCCCAATGTCACGCAGTTTCTGGGTCTCAACATTACCCAGTCCGCCACCTCCATCCACCTCTTCGCCGCCAAGTACGCGGAAACACTTGCAAAGAAATTTACGATCGCTCCAATCGACCTCACCACACCCTTCCGCACTCCTCCTCCTAACCACAAAACCGAGACCACGCTGTCAACGGAGCCGTCCTCGCTTGGGCGGAGCCTACTTCGTTGTCGGGTGTGCAGGAAGCGCAGCCGACCTGCTGCAGTGGGGGACGCCGTCCTAGGCGCCTGGACGGCGTCCTGGGCGTCTGGACGCCGGCATGGGCGTCTGGACGCCGACCTGGGCATCCTGGACGCCGGCCTGGGCGTCCTGGACGCCGACCTGGGCGTCCTGATTGCCCGGTCGACCAGGTTACCCGGGCGACGGGGTTAACCTGGATACCAGGTGTTCTTGGCGAAGCCGACCTCGGTGTGGTATCAAGAGGTCGACGTGGAGGATCAGGAGCAGACGTGGGCACGTGGTCGGCGTGGCGTCTGCGCTGAGTACATGACAGGGCACAGGACGCCAACCAGCTGCGAGCACCTGCAAAGCGGGTGCGCTACTGTCGTGCGGGTGCCACGCTGTGCAGCCCGCCTTGCTGTAGCGTTGGCATGTCGTGGACCTGCAATGTTGGCAAGCCGCTTCTCTGCAGCGCTGGAGCGGTGCGAGCTTTGCAACGCTAGATCGCGGTCGACAGTGCTGCGCTAGAGGTCAACCTGCATGCTTGCTAGCTCTGATGTAGTCTCTCTTTCAATTTTGTTGCTATTATTCTGAACCTCATTGTTGTGAACTTTTGCTAGTGGAACTCTTGCCAAATTCCCTCGTGAATGTGCACGTAGAGTGAGCACAAGCAAACGACTAAGGAACCCGGAGATCACCCCTCACAACCATGCCTAGCCTGCAACCTAGCTCCCGTTGTTAGAGTTTTCTCCGCATGGTGCGGTGAGCGTGGACGGCACCGCAACGATACCTTCGGTTAGCCAACTTTTGCACTTACCTATTTCGTTCGTAGGCCGGCAGCTGTGTTAGTCACCATGGTGGGCACCGTAGATGACGCAGGCATAGTCGACACCCTGGAGTTACGCCTGGCTGATGCGAGGAGACGCATGAAGATGGCGAGTTCGGGCCGTGCCTCCCGTTGGAGGTCGTCAAGCTGGGTATCTGCGCAAAGTGGGCTGCGGAACACCCTTCCCGACCTGGTTCTCCTCGACCGGTACGGAACGAAGGCGGCGTCGGCAAGGGCGCCAACGCCGATGACCAAGTCGGCAGTATTGCTGTAGGCACGACGAAGCAGAGAGGGGTGATTCACGCCGATGAAGTCGGCGGCGTTCAGGCGCGAGGGCTGCAGTCGTCGGCGGCTGCAGGGTCCTCGCAGGGTGACGTCGGAGGACGTCGAAGTGGAGTGACAAGTCCATGTGACAGCGGGTGGGATCGCGCCGACCTTCGCCTACTTCAAATTCACGCCGGACAAGATCGTTATCAGCCCCCTGTTGGTCAGCCGCCACGACCTCCTCACGTGGAAGGAGGCCATCGAGCCCCACCTGGAGATGGCCGGCTTGATGTGTTTCACTGAGGGTAGCGTGGAGACTTCGCTTGCGAGCAACGCCGAGCTGCGCGCGGAGTTCCGTGCCGTGCATCCGCTCACCTTCACGGTCATCTCGCGGTGCTGCTCGCCAGGCGTGCAGATCGCCTTGAAGTCGTGCAAGAGCTACTTGGACGCCGGCCACCAGGCATGGCAGTTCATCACGTCCACATACCAGGTCACGGACGACCTGTACATCGGCCAGCTGGAGGAGCAGATGACGCACCTGCGTATTGGCGAGCAGGAGTTGGCGACCGACTACTGCAACCGGGCTCGACGAGTGCTCGCCAACATACGGATGGCCGGCGTCCAGTACTCGACGGCGTCGTACATCACGCACGTCCTGAAGGGGCTCCCGAGCAGCTACAACCTGATGAAGCGGCTGTCGGTGGTGCCAGGCACGCGGGAGTCGCTCAGCGAGGTTTCGCTAACCTTGTTCATCCTCAGGGATGAGGGAATGCAGGAGGTCGACCGATCCACAGAGCTCCTGCCGCAGGTGAACTACGTTTCCTCGACGAAGCAAGGAGGCCGACCGGGGCAGCGCGGCAAGCGTGACGGCGGTGGTAGCAGTGGCGGGAAGCCGGCGAAGGACAACGACAAGGGGAAGTCGGCTATGGACAGCGGTCGTGGAGGAGGAGGGCGACGCTGGGAATGCTGGCTATACAGCGACCCCGACCACCTCTCCTTCGAGTGCCCCGACGGCAGTGACTCCAACGATGGCGTCAAGGGAGGCCGCGGGAGGTCGGCCAGCCGTCGTCCACGTCGGGAAAGCAAGCCGCACAAGGAGAAGCAGTTGAACAAGTCGGCCTCGACAAAGAACGCCGACTCCTCCTCTGGCGGCAAGGGGCGAGGCGACAAGGAGGCGTCGTGCTCACTGGTCGGCGTCGTGGAGCCGACTGTCTCGCTGGCGCCGGAGGCCGGTGAGGACTTCCAGGCGGTGGCAGCAGCCGTGCAGGCGAACCCGGCAGTGGTCCTGCTCGACAGCGGCTGCTCGCACCACCTGATGGGGACGAAGGAGGCCTTCGTCGACTTGGAGCCGAGCGGTGACATCATGCACGTGCGCGGCTTCAATGGGGCGCTGCAGGACGTTCGCGGCCGTGGCACCGTCGCTCTGCAGAGGGACGCCGGGAAGCAGGTCCTCATCCCCGACGTTCTCTACATCCCGGGCGTGTAGGCTAACCTGCTTTCGGCCGGCCAACTGAAGATGGTCGTCTAGTGGTGGAATTGGCATGGCTCAGATGCGCCCCACCTTCCTAGGCTTGCAATCTGCAGCTTTTCGCAGCCGGTGTCCGCGGCGCCCTGTGAGCGCAATTGGTCCATGTGGGACGCAGTCCACACGGCAAGGCGCAACCGCCTCGAGTCCGAGAAGAGCAGGAACCTCGTATATGTTGCGCACAATTGGCAGGTTGTGCACAACTGGTACAAGGTCCCTGAGGGGCAGGGGGTGGTCAAGGGCAACATTCCTAAGGCGCCAATTCCCGAGGGCTACAAGGTGGAGGAGGATGGGGCGGAGGAGGAGGTTGGGGAGGAGGAGGACATGAGGCTTGAGGATGAGTATGCATAGACGTGCATATGGGGAGGGGGTGGTATGGGATGGGATGGGATGGGAATATGAAGTGTAGTGAATCTTGGGAAAAGGAAGGGTAAGGGAGGTGGGGTAGGGGGCCTGGTGATGTAGGCAAAATGTTGTGTGCATGTAACCTGCCCTAAAATAAATTGGGGAAGGGAGTTGATGGTGCCTTGCGCCACCCCCTTCCCCACCTCTTAACCCAAAAAATTCACCTGCCCGAAACTTTTTTTACCCCTGCCCGGCCCTGCGTTTTCACTGCATGTCGGACCTTTCCAAAGATGCATACAGAGTTTAAACGCTAGCGTATAAACACTAGCGTATGAAACGCGAAACGCTTATACTCCAACTAAGTGACCCTTCATCTGCTGACACGACTCTCTTCATTCCTCGTCACTCTGAGCCCTTCTACATCCTTGTCTACGTCGACGACTTCATCCTTGTCTCCAAGGACTCGGCTCAGATGGCCTCTGTCCAGGCGGCCCTGAGCAAGGCTCTCTTGATGAAGGACCTCAGTGATCTCAAGAACTACCTGGGGACAGAGATCACTCGTGATCGCAAGGCTCGCACCATCTCACTCTCCCAGGAGTTCTACATCGACAATGTCTTCAAGAGGCCCGTTACCTCTCCTTCCTCCTCCAAGAGCTTGACTACCGTCAGCCCACCCTCACCCTCTGGTATACATGGTCAAAGCGACGAGTCAAGTAATGCTCGCCTCGAGTCGAGCAAAGCTTTGGCGAGCATTTTGGTACTTTTGGCCTACTCTAGGCTCGTTGTTTTAATATAAGCTCGGGCGAGTACGTGAGAATACTCGCCCCAGCATAGAAATACTCAACTCGCCCCAATCTGCATGCACCTATGGCCCTATAAAAACATTAGCTATGAAAAAAAAATCAATCAGCCAGGCCAGTCCAGGGTATTGTGGATCTAATGGGTAGCACGGAGGGTCTAGGGAAGCAATGGGGAGCCAAGGGAAGCCTCAAGGAGGCCTGGTGATAATCCAGAGATCCTCGTGGAGGACCTAAGTACCTATTAACGCCCAAGGCTACCCTGCAACCCACTGTAATGGCACCCCAGCCAAGCACCATTTGCCTCTAAACATTCCTTTGCGTGTGATAAATTAACAAGGGGCCAGGTCTAGCGCCCTGGTGAGTGTGCGTTTGGGGTGAAACATGCTGTTTATCAACAACCCTTTCCCTATAAATATATAACCCACCAGCCATCCCTCCACTCATGTCTTCCCTTCCTGCAGCAGCAGCAGCCACCCTCATCCCCGCCCATCCCCTCCATCCGTATCGTCCACCCAATCCCACAAGCCCATCACCCACAAAACACTTCACTTGTCATCAATCTCCAAGCTCATGGCATCCTACTCCGCCTTGGCAAGCAAATCCTTTGCCGCCTTCCCAAGCCTGCACCCCGGTTTCAAGTCAACCCAAGACTTGAGAATAAAGCAGGCTCGCACGCGCTCAGGGTCGAGCCTATGCTGCTGCCATGTGATGAGGTTGCGGCCCTGCAAAAATGTGCGCTCGCTCGCAGCTGTCGTCGCGGGGATGGCGAGGTAATCGAGGGCCATCGCCTGTAGGCCCTCTAGGTCGCTCCGACGGCGCCAGTAGGTGAGCGGACACACCCCCAATGGCTCCATCTGCTCATCGATGTAGATCCACACTTCATCGCGACTAGTTTGTTTCTGATGGCTACGGAAAGCCGCCAGCCACGCCACCAAATCCATCTTGTCCCCCCCGGCACCACCGAAGACATCAGTGGCAGCAAGTCTGCTACTGCTACTGCTGCCCCCAACACCTCCCTTGTGGCCACTGCTGCTGGCCCCTCCAGATCCAGTCTCCCCCCTTCCGCGGCCGTCCCCACTACCACCAGTCCCATCCCGCATCCTCCTAGCCGCCAGCACCTTCTCCTTGTGCGGGCGCACCTTCGCCCGTACCAGCTCCATAATCTGCGCGGCGTCCACGTGCTGCGACCCACTCCTCTCCTCCCCCAACCCCTCCTTCCCCATCTCGAAGTAGCCAATCTTGAAGCTCAGGTCCAAGAACATTGCCACCCAAAGCTCATCGTTATTGCTGGAGTAGTGCTCCTGCAGCTTCCCCATCGCGGCCGAGATGCACCCCTTTAAGATCTCTAAGGGGCAGGGAGAAACACGATCTCTTAGCCTCTCAAGGCTGTCCAGCAGTTCGTTGAACAGCGGGACCACCCTTGAGATGGTGGGGTACTTGGAACCCTCCGCCGCCAGGGTGACGGCGTGGAAGGGCTGGAGGAAGTCGCGGAGCTCCTCCAAGGCGGGCCGCGACTTCCTTGGAATCGGTGATGGTCAGTTCCTGCAGGCGAGCATCTTCCTTCGCTGTCATGCCTTGTTGGTGACTAAGGCGGCGGAGTTGAGGAGTTCACATAGACGGATACATGATGGAGTGTGATGACACCTTGGCAATGGGGGGCCCCCAGGAAGCTGTGCACACAGTACGCATATGTATGACCTTGTGAAGTGCACTGGTTCCATCCAAGTCAATTCATTTCATCACCCACACGCTAATCGGCGCGCCTGGTGTAGTTGATGATGGTGTGCTTGAGGTGGAGAGTGCACTTGATCATGAGATAGGTACTCCCCCAGCGCACTTCGTTCTCATGACGAAGTCGCAGCAGCTTGGCCCTGGCGTTCTCCTCCCGCTGGGCCAGCTCGAAGGACGTCGTCCGCTTGGGCGAGTACCCAATGAACGAGGCGAGGTCTCGAAGGAGCCCCACTGGCTCATTTATGTCTAGCACACTCTTCAGCGCTAGCTGTACAGCCAGGCAGATGTGTGCTAGGCACCTGGAGCACGGGGATGGGCAGGGCAGAAACACACCACCAGATAATGATGGAGGGGGGGGATGCATGGGTGAGAAAGGTCGTCGGCTGACAGACACGGTGCTGCCATGCATTGTGGTTAGTAAACGTAGAGATGTACAGGTCAATCAGCATCGTGGAAGGGAGATGGGTAGGTAATTTCACCGCACGTGCATCCCCAAGAAGAACAAGGGAGGATGGCGGTCGCTCACCCCACCACGACATACGTGTTAGTGTTAGCCCTCAATCTCACACTTTGTATTTTACACTTTCTATATCCTAGCATGGTGTAGTTTGCACTTTGTGTTTGGTTGGGTGTACACAAGCATCCCAACCAAACCCAAATGTGATCTCCAAGCGATCTTCAACCCACCAATTGAAGATTGTCTTGGGATTACCCCCAATCCCTAGAGATTGCCCCCGATTCCCCTCCCCATCCATTGCATGCCCATCTTAGATGTACTTAAAGAGTTTCAAGCTCATTAATAATGCATGGATAATAGGTATTCCATCGCGGCGACGCTGGATGAGGCGTTGTCTGACGTCACCGTAATGCACTGGCCCTCTAGCTGGTGTTCGTGGCGCGGACCCTGGAGGTGCTAGCTTTGGGGGTGTTGGATTTGGAGCTGAGAGTGTGCCTGCACGAGGTCCTGGTTCTGGGGGTGCTGGAGTTGGGGCTGAGCCCTCTGCTAGTCCTGGAGAGCCCGGGACTGGCCACGTTGCTGCTGGTGGTGCTAGCTCTGGGGGTTGGTTTGTCTGGTAATTTGGAGGGCGATCCTGGGGCTACTATCGCTCCGGACACTACTCCTCCCCCCCACCCCTACCCGACCCGGCACCAGGCCCTTCTACGCCGTGCACGTGAGGAGCAGCTGGATTTGGAGCAGCAGCTGGAGGAGCAGCAGGAGCAGCCGCAGCAGTAGCCGCCGTAGCAGGAGCATCAGCAGCAGGCGCAGCAGCAACAGGAGCCGCAGCAGGCGCAGGAACAGCAGCCGCCGCCTCCGACTCCTGTCTCTTGCCTTTGGGCCCTTGGTCTCCCCTCTCCTCCTCCTCCCTCCTCCCCCTCTCCTTCTGCCTTCGGTCCCACGTTTCCTCCTCCTGACCCAGCCCGGCTGTTTTCCCCCGTTCTCAGCCTCCGTTGTCCCCTCCTCTTTCTCACACTTGGGCTTCTCGCTCTCCTCGTGCTCGTCCCTCGTCCCCTGTTCCCGTCACTGACCTTCGTACTGTCCTGTTTCGTTCTAGCTCCCCTCGTCCATCTTCGTCTGTGCTTCCTTCTCCCCCTGTGTCGGCCCTCACTGTTTCCCTCTCTACTCCTGACACCGACTACTACCGCACGTACCGTCCTGTTCTCTCTCGTGTTCTCGCCTCTCTTGTTACGGACCCTCGTGCCTTTCCGTCCTCTGTCTCCGCCCTTACTGCCGCAGTCACTGAGTTCGCCACTATTCGCCGCCTTGAATACGCCACTCGCGTCGTGGCTGCTCCTCCTACCAGTCCTCTGGCCGTCGGGGGTGAGTCTGCCCTTGGCTGTGACGCCCTAGAGGACAGGCAGTTTGAGCTAGAGTTCGAGGCAGCCGCTTCCCCTCATCTCTGTGCCATGCTGCTCGCCCCTGAGGGAGACCCCGACGCCCTTGACATACCGACTCCTTGCACTTACGCTAAGGCAGTGTCAGGGCCTTGGGCCTCTCAGTGGAGAGCTGCCATGGACGCAGAGATGGCCTCCTACAGATCCACAAGCACCTACGTCGACGAGGTTCCCCCTCTGGTCAGGGGCGAACGTAGTCGATGGCATGTGGATCTTCAAGGTGAAGCGTCCACCGGGATCTCCTCCCGTCTTCAAGGCGTGCTATGTGGCTGAAGGTTCCAGTTAGCGCGAGGGAGTTGACTTCTTTCAGACCTTCGCACCTACCCCGAAGATGACCACTCTTCGGGTGTTACTTCACGTAGCAGCACAGAGAGACTACGAGTTACACTCTCTCGACTTCTCCACTGCCTTCCTTCAGGGTAGCCTACACGAGGAGGTCTGGCTGCTTCGTCCCTCTGCCTTCACTGACAATTTCCCTCCTTGGACCCAGCAGAGACTCAGACGACCGGTCTACGGTCTCCGTCAGGCGCCTCGTGAGTGGCACGACACCCTTCGCTCTACCCTGTCTGACCTCGGTTTTCAGTCGTCTTCTACCGACCCGTCGTTGTTCGTTCGTCGTGGCTCCACACCTATCTTTGTGCTGGTTTACGTCGATAACCTGGTCTTCGCCACTGCTGACAGGTTTGCCTTGGCTGACGTGAAGTCCGAACTGAAGAACAGACACACGTGCACTGACCTTGGTAAGTTGCGGCACTACCTTGGCCTGCATATCATCTCTAGGGACAGAGCCGCTCGCACCATCACTCTGACTCAGTCACACATGATGTAGCAGGTCTTTCAACGGTTCGGGTTTCAGTTCTCCACTGCACAGCCTACTCCTCTTGCTGTTGACCACAGACTCACTATACCTTTTCCTTTTCTTGACGAGCCGTTTGAGCCTAGTGGTCCTTACCCAGAGCTTGTGGGCTACCTCATGTACCTGATAACTTGTACTCGGCCGAACCTCGCCTTCCCTCTCAGCATCCTTGCTCGCTTTGTTGCGCCAGGGAGACACCGTCCTGTTCACTGGACAACGACTGTGAGGGTGGCGAAGTACCTAGCGACGACATCAGGCGTGGGGCTGGTGCTTGGAGGGAGACAGCCTGTCGTGCTCACTAGTCACTGTGACTCTTCCTACGCCGATAACGTCGAGACTCACAGGTTCACGCAGGGGAACTGTTTCAGCCCGGGATCTAGAGATGTTTCGTGGAGGTCTACTCGTTCGTCCTCTGTCTCGACCTCTACTACGCTGGAGCCATGGCTGCACAGGAGCTGCGTTGGTTGACCTTCTTGCTCACTGACCTTGGTGAGCGGCCGAGCTCTGCACCGACCTTGTTTACTGACAACAAGGCGATGATTCTCCTGTGTCGAGAGCCTCGACTGGAGAGCAGAGTGAAGCACATCAACGTCAGGTACTTTCTTCTTCGAGAGTTGCAGAGACGTGGACAAGCCCGTTTCGAATTTGTGGGCTCCGAGGCCAACACTGCAGACATCTTCACCAAGGCCCTTCCGCCTTGTGACCACCTCTGGTTTCGTCTGCAGTTAGGTCTCGTTGACACAGGTTCTCGTCTTGTGTAGACTTGTCTTCTCTATCTGTTTTGTTTGTACTCTTTGCGTATACCTGTCTGAACTCTTGGAGTGGCCTTGTGGCCTCTTGTTGGCGCACTCACCCGCTACACAAATAAACAAGCCTTTTTATCCCAGTGGTTAGTGGCTGGGATTCTGACATGGTATCAGAGCGAAGGTCTCGGGTTCGAATCCCGGTGTGTGCACCTCGGGCATCCCAATGCGGGGGGGTGTCAGAGGTCCACTGGAGATCCCCGATTGATCCTAGGGAAGGGTTACAAGCACGTCGGCCTGGGGGGTTATGGGCGCACTCACCCGCTATACAAACAAGCCTTTTTATCCCAGTGGTTAGTGGCTGGGATTTTGACATGGTATCAGAGCGAAGGTCTCGGGTTCGAATCCCGGTGTGTGCGCCTCGCGCATCCCAGTGCGGGGAAGTGTCAGAGGTCCACTGGAGATCCCCGATTGATCCTAGGGAAGGGTTACAGGCACGTCGGCCTGGGGGGTTATGGGCGCACTCACCCGCTACACAAATAAGCCCTTTTATCCCAGTGGTTAGTGGCTGGGATTCTGACAGTTAGGGGCTGGGATTGTGACATTGTTTCAAAGCGAAGGTTTTGGGTTCGAATCCCGGTGTATGCACCTCGGGCATCCCAGTGCGGGGGGGGTGTCAGAGGTCCACTGGAGATTCCCGATTGATCCTAGGGAAGGGTTACAGGCACGTCGGCCTGGGGGGTTATGGGCGCACTCACCCGCTACACAAATAAGCCCTTTTATCCCAGTGGTTAGTGGCTGGGATTCTGACAGTTACTGGCTGGGATTCTGACATTGTATCAATCAGAGCGAAGGTCTTGGGTTCGAATCCCGGTGTGTGCACCTCGGGCATCCCAGTGAGAGGGGGGTGTCAGAGGTCCTTTGGAGATCCCCGATTGATCATAGGGAAGGGTTACAGGCACGTTGGCCTGGGGGGTTATGGGCGCACTCACCCGCTACACAAATAAGCCCTTTTATCCCAGTCAGGCCCCTAGATTCGTTTTGAGGCACGCTGATTGATCAGCGTCTACCTCTGTTGGAGCTCTGTGAGTCAGTGTGGCCACAAATTTCTAGGCTGAAAATTCATACAACTCAATTGTTTTAGGCTGAACTTTCAGCGTGAGGTGTAAAAGTTAAGGTGATCATGCACATTCATAAAAACATGAATTAAACATATAACGTGTCTGTTTGCAGGGAAGGTGGGGTGGGGTGGATCTTTGTGGAGTCGTGCGAGGCGCAGCGTGCTGCAGGGTCTTTGCTACGTGTATCAGTCATTTTTGTCAGATTCATCAGAAGCGTACTATATGTTTCATAGGTTGCTTGGATTTTCGGCAGAACAGCTCTGACACAGCAGAACTGCTGTGTCAGGGCGAATCTCTTTGTGTCGTGCAAATTGATGTGTCAGGGCGAATTTGCAATGACCAGTCAAGCCCAACGAATCTTGCCAACACTGCTTGCTGCGCAACCCCGATTGGTCGGATTTTTTGTACCAACACGATTGTGCGGTGCCGCGCGGGGGAAATTTCGATTTCTCGCCTACGGTTAGTCCAGTTACAGTGTGCACCCCCTATACAAGGCTGAGTGTACAGCCTACACTCCTACAAAAAGGCTGAAAAAACAGCCAAGGTAAAAAAGAAATCACTGAAAAATCAGCCAAGGTACATGACAAAAGACTTTGGATTCAGCCTACCCCTTTAAAAAAAGCCTGATATGACGCTGAATCAGCGTAAAAAGGCTTATATAGGGTCCTGATCCCAGTGGTTAGTGGTTGGGATTCTGACAGCGACTCGCGAGAGGAGCGAGCGAACGAGCGAGAGGAGCGAGCGAACGAGCGAGAGGAGCGAGCGAACGAGCGAGATGGGGCTCGTCTGGCAAGGGGCGAGGGGCTTTGTGGGGGAGCGCTAGGTTCGGAGAAGCGAGGGACTGGAGGGGGCAGGGGGGGAATGAAAGGGGGAACGGGGGGGGCTACTACGGTATCGGTATCAGATGAAATTGTTCTCGATATCTGAAAATTCAGACGAAATACAGCGCTCATTCTTTTTCTTTTCAGTCGACCTAAAATCACACGTCTGGTGGTTCAGATGAAACAAAATCGCTGGTATGGAAAATTAGATGAAAAAAAAAAAAAGGAGGTGTGATTTTCAGACAATCAAACGAAATTGGTCTGATATCAAGCCCTGGTTCAAACATACCACCTTAGCAAGGCACGAATTGGTCCTACTGGTATCTCACAGGCATCCATAGCTCCTTAAACATACGGTACCACCTTAGTGTCCAGTTCATCCCATGCCAGACGAATGGCAATGCACCCGGTTGGACCTTGCCCCATGGCAGGTGGTCTACTCGTCCAATTGATGTTTGAGAAAAGTCAAAAGGACAAGAGCCGCCATAGGGCCCGTGCTAGTCATAAGGCAGCACCCGGTTGGTCCTTGCCCCATGGCGGGTGGTCCTCAGTCCAATTGGCTGGTGGTCTTGGCTTCCACCCAGGGATTTCATCATTGAAGAAATCGTACCAGATGTGGCCTGGAGGGACACAGACAGGGGAGGGAAGGGACAGGAACGCCACAGTGACTAGGAGTGGTATGCGGGTCTAAACCCAGGAGCTTCCATCTGGGTCCACCCGGGGATTTCATCGCTGAAGAGATTGTACCAGATGAGGCGTGCAAGGGACAAAGAGGGCTGGGGAAATAATGGTACTTTTGTATGAGATGCTGTTCAACAGTCACATGGCTTCGAGTCGGAATGCCATGCACGGGAGATCAGCATGGCATGGCATGCAGGAAAGGCCAGCAAGCCCATGATGTGCATGCACAGCACCATGAGGTGGTCACCACAGCACAGCACCATGAGGTGGTCACCACAGCACAGCACCATGAGGTGGTCACCACAGCACAGCACCATGAGGTGGTCACCACAGCACAGCACCATGAGGTGGTCACCACAGCACAGCACCATGAGGTGGTCACCACAGCACAGCACCATGAGGTGGTCACCACAGCACAGCACCATGAGGTGGTCACCACAGCACAGCACCATGAGGTGGTCACCACAGCACAGCACCATGAGGTGGTCACCACAGCACAGCACCATGAGGTGGTCACCACAGCACAGCACCATGAGGTGGTCACCACAGCACAGCACCATGAGGTGGTCACCACAGCACAGCACCATGAGGTGGTCACCACAGCACAGCACCATGAGGTGGTCACCACAGCACAGCACCATGAGGTGGTCACCACAGCACAGCACCATGAGGTGGTCACCACAGCACAGCACCATGAGGTGGTCACCACAGCACAGCACCATGAGGTGGTCACCACAGCACAGCACCATGAGGTGGTCACCACAGCACAGCACCATGAGGTGGTCACCACAGCACAGCACCATGAGGTGGTCACCACAGCACAGCACCATGAGGTGGTCACCACAGCACAGCACCATGAGGTGGTCACCACAGCACAGCACCATGAGGTGGTCACCACAGCACAGCACCATGAGGTGGTCACCACAGCACAGCACCATGAGGTGGTCACCACAGCACAGCACCATGAGGTGGTCACCACAGCACAACACCGCGCGGCATGACAGGCATGGCATGGCATGGCTGGTGGCCATACCTGGGTGGCCAGCGTACCTGGCTGTGCGTTCACACAGCACCAGATGCCCACGTACTGCCGCAGCCGCCATCTGAACTTCTTCTCCATTGCCTGCACACCATGCCGCCACACCATGCCGCAGTGCATGGCATCCACACAAAACGACAGAGAGGATAGAGGGGATTTGAGTCAACCCTCAGCGAGCTGGTTTGTACACCTCGCAAAAAGTAACACGCATCACATTGTGATGCGTAAGTAAATTTTGTGTTAATAGATTTATGTTATATATTTAATACTGCCATTTTCAAATCCCCTTGAAATATTTACTTCAGCTGGGCAGCTGAAGAAAAAAAAATCTGCCCGCAAACATAAACTCATTCCAGCACCTCGTGCATAACGTAAAGCGTACATAAACGTAAACGTGAAACGTACGTAGATGCAAGCGTAATGTCCAACTTAGGTTCACAGAACCCAGAGAGCAAAAACTAAATTTGAGTTTCTATACTGGTTTTACAGGAGAGAGGGGACTTGAGGATAGAGGAGAAGGGAAGGTCGGAGGGGAAGGGGAGAGGGGAAGCGGAGACAAGAAGGGGAAAGGGACACTTGTCTCACCTTCCTTGTCTTCCCGCTTTACCTTGTCTTCCCGGTTTACCTTGTCTTCCCGCTTCACCTTGTCTTCCCACCCTCCGAAAGAATCAACCATAGAAGAAACTCGATCCACTTCATGTCTGAGTATCGCGATAGCACTGCCTTGAGTTGCAGGGGCAGCACTGCCTCACCTCGTCTCTTTGCGCTCACCTTGTCTCTTTGCGCTCACCTTGTCTCTTTGCGCTCACCTTGTCGTCCCACCCTCCAAACGAGTCGACCATGGAGGAAAACTCAATCCACTTTGTGTCTGAGTACCGCGATAGCACTGCCTTGAGCTGCAGGGGCAGCGATTGAAGGAGGGAGGGAAGGAGGAGAAGGTTGTTTAGGAAAGGAGTCTATAGTTAAAGAAGACTTGGAAACTCGATCCACTTCATGTCCGAGCACCGCGATAGTGCTGCCTTGAGCTGCAGGGGCAGCGATTTGAAGAAGAGTGCGGGAAGGGGTGGTTCGAAAGGAGTCCATGTTAAAGAAGACTTGAGACTTGATCCACCTCAAGGCTGATTACCGTGATAGCGCTGCCTTGAGCTGCAGGGGCGATGAGAGTAAGGGAGGGAGGGAGCGCGGGAAGAAAGGAGGGCAGTGTGTGCATTCTTAGGAGGTCGAATGGAAGAGGAGCCCAGAATATAAACGACGGGAAACGAAAGAATTGCGTGGCAGCACGTCACCACACGGCAGCATACCTTCCATTTTAACACACAAGAATGGAGGAATGTCACGTGTGTGCATCCAGTGGTGACGTGCTCACTGTCACCCAACCATCCAGCCATCCATCCAGCCAGCCACCTTCCATACTCACCAAACCATTTTCATCTAACCACCTCATTCTGGCTCATGCTCGACCATCTTGGCTCATGCTCGACCATCTTGGCTCATGCTCGACCATCTTGGCTCATGCTCGACCATCTTGGCTCATGCTCGACCATCCTGGCTCATGCTCGACCATCTTGGCTCATGCTCGACCATCTTGGCTCATGCTCGACCATCTTGGCTCTCTCTAACAACTTTCACGTCAACTCAAACTCGGTCGGTAGCATCTCACCCTCCAGCCCTGCTCGTCCCCACCCCACCCCACTCCACTAACCCTATTTTACCTTACCGTGCCTCCTTCTACATTCGGATCTTCAAACTAAGTAGGGGCACTGGCGTGTTCGCTTCCCTACCACCCGACCCCCAGCTTCCCACCCCAACCCAGTTCGTTCTGCCGTGCTTCTTTATTCAAGTCCTGTTAGCGGGGGGGCACTGGCATGTTGGGGGGGCACTGGTATGTTGGGATCCCTACCACCCCACCCTGCGCTCCCACTTCCCACCCACCACCTCGTTCATCCGTGATTTCTTCCTGATTCTAAATTTGTTAGCCAAGGGGCACTGGCATGTTGGCTTCCCTACCACCGCACCCGCCCTCCCACTTCTTACCCCGCCCTCTCACTTGCCACCACACCCTCCCCTTTCGCACCTCGCCCCACCTCGTTCTGGCGTGTGTTCTTCTTGACTCGGATCGTGTCAGTGGCAGTGGGAGGGCCTGGCGTGCTGGGAGGGTCTGGCGTGCTGGGGCAGTCGGGCGAGCCCTCATCACACAGTTGCACTGCCAGCTTCGACTTGAGCAGCTGGAGAAACGTTGGGGGGGGGGGATGAGAGAGAGAGAGAGAGAGAGAGAGAGAGAGAGAGAGAGAGAGAGAGAGAGAGAGAGAGAGAGAGAGAGAGAGGGCCGGGTTGGGAGTGGGAGACTAGTCATAGTGGGGCAGTTAGGGGAGCCCGCCACACACCTCCACTGCCAGCTTCGACTAGAGTAGCTGCGGAGTGGTGGGATGGGAGGGAGAGATGGGAGGGCCTAACTGTTAGAATCATATTGTAGCATGCCAACACTTGTGACTGTACACCAATTGTGGTGTACAGTTGGGTTGGGACTACACCCAACTTTGGGTTAGACTTGCACTTTGGGTTAGTCTTGCACTTTGGGTTAGTCTTGCACTTTGGGTTAGTCTTGCACTTTGGGTTAGTCTTGCACTTTGGGGTGCCAATCCAACCCAATTGTGGTGGAGCCCCCACATGCAACCCACTTGGCTTTAGGTTGCCTCACTTCCCAAAAGTGAGGCTAATCCAACCACAGTGGGCCTCAGGTTGCCTCACTCCTCAAATGTGAGGCCAAACCACCTATGGACCATGAAGCGACTCACCGTCTGATTCATAGCACTCACTGCCTGATTCATAGCACTCACTGCCTGATTCATAGCACTCACTGCCTGATTCATAGCACTCACTGCCTGATTCATAGCACTCACTGCCTGATTCATAGCACTCACTGCCTGATTCATAGCACTCACTGCCTGATTCATAGCACTCACTGCCTGATTCATAGCACTCACTGCCTGATTCATAGCACTCACTGCCTGATTCATAGCACTCACTGCCTGATTCATAGCACTCACTGCCTGATTCATAGCACTCACTGCCTGATTCATAGCACTCACTGCCTGATTCATAGCACTCACTGCCTGATTCATAGCACTCACTGCCTGATTCATAGCACTCACTGCCTGATTCATAGCACTCACTGCCTGATTCATAGCACTCACTGCCTGATTCATAGCACTCACTGCCTGATTCATAGCACTCACTGCCTGATTCATAGCACTCACTGCCTGATTCATAGCACTCACTGCCTGATTCATAGCACTCACTGCCTGATTCATAGCACTCACTGCCTGATTCATAGCACTCACTGCCTGATTCATAGCACTCACTGCCTGATTCATAGCACTCACTGCCTGATTCATAGCACTCACTGCCTGATTCATAGCACTCACTGCCTGATTCATAGCACTCACTGCCTGATTCATAGCACTCACTGCCTGCGGTGTGCGAGGGTTGTTGAGGAAGGAGTATTCTCGAATGGGCACAGCCGGGCCGAACTCGTCGTCATTCAGCTTGCCTGGCAGCATGCGCTGCACCTCCACCAGATGATCCACGGGGGACAGGAACGGCTGGGGTGTGTCGGTGCCATCTAGAATCCCAGGGTGTGGGAACCAGATGCGGTCGTAGCGCACCCACGTGGCTGGTAGGACCTGTAAGAGGGCGGCAGGCAGAGAGGAGGAGTCGGTGTTGGGGAATTCCTAGCCCAGGGAAGAGGGGAACGGCTGGGGCGTGTCGGTGCCATCGAGAATCCCAGGTGTGGGAAGCAGATGCGATCAAAGCGGACCCACATGGGTGGTAGCAGCTGCAGTGAAGGGAAGGAAGAGCAAAGGTGTTGGTGTTGCTGTTGTTGTGGGAATGAATGGAATCAGCCAGTAAAAAGGGAAAGGAGCAGTGCAGGTCGTTGCATGCAAGCATAACCGAGTAGCCATTTGCATGACAGCCACGCCACAGATGGCCTTCAGAAATAGGCCCACTCGGTTATGCTTGCATGGCCGGGTGCCACGGCTATTATGGGGTTGACTTTTACGTTGACTCAGAAAGTCGCATATGAGCAACAGGCAGAGAGGGTGAGAGAGGCAAAGAGGGTGAGAGGGGCAGAGAGGATGAGAGGGGCAGGACTTACGAGTGTTCTGTTGAGTATCGTAGCTATGGCGAGTGCTGATCTGAGATTGACCAGCTGCACCATGGAAGCACAGATGAGAACAAGCAGAAATGACGAGGAAGAACGGATGAGATGAACAAGTGCAACATGATTGGTGAGGGAAAGATGATGAGAAGGAGCATAGAAAATGATGGTACGTTGAGAGAGCTTGCTCAGATTGACAAGACTTTCGAGTCGACTCAAAAGGCGCATAGAGAATGATTGCTCAGCATAGAATATTTTTTAGTGGACGCAGAAATGAAGCAAGTCAAGCACGTAAGTGTAATGGCGTGAATCGTGTTCAACAAAGTGTAGGAAACAATATATGAACGACGTCTCACAACCCTAAATGTATCATGAAATTCATGCGATGAAAGTGGGGAAAAAAAAACCTGATGTTGTACTGCTGTTGACCAGGTTGACTAGGCTGGCCGCAAACCCGCTTGTTGACTGCTTGCCTAGCATTGGTTGACCTGCTGGTTGACCGGACTGACCAGGTTGACCAGCTGGTTGACCGGACTGACCAGGTTGACCAGCTGGTTGACCGGACTGACCAGGTTGACCAGCTGGTTGACCGGACTGACCAGGTTGACCAGCTGGTTGGCCGGACTGACCAGGTTGACCAGCTGGTTGACCGGACTGACCAGGTTGACCAGCTGGTTGGCCGGACTGACCAGGTTGACCAGCTGGTTGACCGGACTGACCAGGTTGACCAGCTGGTTGACCGGACTGACCAGGTTGACCTGCTGGTTGACCGGACTGACCAGGTTGACCTGCTGGTTGACTGGACTGACCAGGTTGACCTGCTGGTTGACCGGACTGACCAGGTTGACCTGCTGGTTGACCGGACTGACCAGGTTGATCAGCTGGTTGACCGGACTGACCAGGTTGACCAGCTGGTTGACCGGACTGACCAGGTTGACCTGCTGGTTGACCGGACTGACCAGGTTGACCTGGCAGGGTGCTCACCTGGTAGTTGACGAGGTTGAAGTGGGTCTGTATGGAGTGCGCGCCACCTGTCAGCAACTCCTCCGGGATGTTGTTCACGAATGACAGCACGCCACCTGGCACGCCACGCACTCAAACAAAGCATGTGGGAGGGGCACATGCAGGGCAGTAGAGTTCATATAGAGCCCAGTTCAAAGCAGCAGAATCTAAGAGGGACGAGAATGTGTGAAGCAGGGAGAGAGAGAATGAGCACTGTTTCCAAACAAGGACGTGGAGGCCACCCCACCTGGCAACAACTGAGGCGCCTCAAAAATCTAACAGGGACGAACAAACATACAGCTGCCTGTCTCGCTTACAAACAATCTGGCTAACAGGTAAAAGGCGGACTGCCTCACCTGGCGGGTCGTAGTACTGGGGAGGGTCGATGAACGCCATGGCCTCTCGGAACCGATGCCGCTTGCCGTCCGTGCCGGCGAACTGGAAGGTGGCGTGCATGGCATAGGGCTCTAGCCCCACCTTGCGGTACAGGTGCTGGTGTGTGTGAGGGGGGTGGGTGGGGTTGCAGGAACGAGAGATATGGGAGAGTGCAGCATGGCGTGGTGCTACAGGGTCAAGGTAGGGGAGCGAACTGGAAGGTGGCGTGCATGGCATGGGGCTCCAGGCCTACTTTACGGTACAGGTGCTGGTGGTGGGAGAGTGGGGCAGGGGGGGAAGAGTCGGGCAGGGGGAAGAGTGGGGCAGGGGGGGAGAGTGGGGCAGGGGGGAAGAGTGGGGCAGGGGGGGAAGGGAACCAAACAAGATGGAAGATGGTAGTGGGAGGAGGGGAAAGGGAGCAAACAAGAGGCAAGCACTTGATTGAATTTTGCCACCTGTGCTGCTGATGGCCGATTAGAACCTGGCGTCTATGGCATAAGGCTCCAGCCCCACCTTGTGATACAGATGTGACTCTTGAGTTGACTCAAAAGTCGCACATGGCATAAGGCTGCAGCCCCACCTTGTGGTACAGATGCTGGTGGGGAGTGGGTGCTGGTGGGGAGTGGGTGCTGGTGGGGAGTGGGCGTGGCGAGATGGGCACGATGGGGGCAAAATGAGGAGAGAAGTAGAAGGTGCAGTGCATGTCGTTCCTACAACTCCAGACCTACTTTCCGGTACAGGTGCTGCTGGTGAGGGGGGGTTGCAGGAACGAGAGATATAGCAGAGGAGAGAGTGAGGCGTGGTGCAGTGCCCAAGGGGTTAGGCGGGATAAGAGAAGAAAGCAAGTTTGGCCAGAGAAATAGAGCGCCACATGCAGTATCCCCAGCTTCAGCGAGCCGTCAAACGCCCAGCACACGTTGTCCTTGGTGTCAAACGCCCAGCACACGTTGTCCTTGGCGTCAAACGCCCAGCACACGTTGTCCTTGGCGTCAAACGCCCAGCACACGTTGTCCTTGGCGTCAAACGCCCAGCACACGTTGTCCTTGGCGTCAAACGCCCAGCACACGTTGTCCTTGGCGTCAAACGCCCAGCACACGTTGTCCTTGGCGTCAAACGCCCAGCACACGTTGTCCTTGGCGTCAAACGCCCAGCACACGTTGTCCTTGGCGTCAAACGCCCAGCACACGTTGTCCTTGGCGTCAAACGCCCAGCACACGTTGTCCTTGGCGTCAAACGCCCAGCACACGTTGTCCTTGGCGTCAAACGCCCAGCACACGTTGTCCTTGGCGTCAAACGCCCAGCACACGTTGTCCTTGGCGTCAAACGCCCAGCACACGTTGTCCTTGGCGTCAAACGCCCAGCACACGTTGTCCTTGGCGTCGGGGTTCACATCGGGCCCGAGCTTTACATGTGTCCCTTTTTGAATACTTCTCCATTGGGGTTCACATCGCGCTCAAGCTTCAAACAACTTTTCACCATACAAACAAGCAAGTGATGAGCCAAACAGTCTCACCTGCACAAAGTAGGTGTGGCCCGAGCAGAAGAGCGACACGGGCAGTATTCCCAGCTTGAGCGTGCCATCAAACGCCCAGAACACATTATCCTTGCCGTTGGGGTTCACATCGGGCCCGAGCTTTTGCCGCATAAGGTCATTGAATCCGTTCTGGTCCCACACCTTGGCGTCTGCTGCTAATTGTTCCGCCCACGCCCGTGCGAACCGCTTGGCCGGGTCCGTGGGGCGGAAGTGGAGAATGCCAATGTTGTACGCCCCCTGGGCTGTGGGGGGGGGAGGGGGGGCGGGGAAGGAAACGCAGCGCAGGGTACGGGGGTGGGAGGGAGGGAGGGATGAGGGATGGGTGTAAGAAGTTGATAGGCGAGGCGAGGCGAGGCATGAGGGGTTGATAAGAGACAGACGCACAGACCCCTCGGGGTTCACATGGGGCGCGAGCTTCTGTCGCATGAGGTGATTGAAGCCATTCTATTCTGGTCCACCCCTTGACGTCTGCTGCTACCTGCTCGCCCAGGGGCCACGCTCGTGCAAACCGCTTCGCCGGGCCCGTGGGGCGGACGTGGAGTATGCTGATGTTGCACGCGCCTTGGGCAACGGCTATGGGGGTTGCAGAGGGGGGGTGGAGGGGTGAAACGAAAAGAGCATTGAGGCATTGACCGTTTTGCCAGGTCTGTGGGGCGGACGTGGAGAATGCCCATGTTGCACGCTCCCTTCCCTGGGCTACGGGGGGGCAAGGATAACACAAACAGGGGAGGGGAGGGAGAGAAGAACCAGAGAATGCAACATGTAAAGGTGAAGCAGAGAATGTGTGTGGGGGGGAAGTGCAGAATGCCAATGTTGTACGCGCCTTGGGCATTAGACGAGGGGGAAGAGGGGGGGAGGTGGAAGGATCAGATGAGAAGAGCACTGAAGAGGTGAGGCATTAACCGCCTCGCTGGGTCTGTGGAGAGAAAGTGAAGAATGCCCATGATGTGCGCACCCTTGCTTGGGGTGGATTAAGGACGGGTGTGGGTGAGTGAATGAGGGGTGAAGATCAAAACTGAAAAGATGAGCCATTGACCCTGCGCGCTCTCACCATGGCATGCCACTCACCCCGGCATGCCACTCACCCCGGTCCCAGTGCTCCAGTGACTCATCATCCACTGAGCGCACTAGATGGTCGGATGAAGTGAGCACGTCCGCTTGCGGGTAGCGCGCCATGTAGGGGAGCGGGTTCTGAGACGAGGGAGCAGGGAGGGGTTGAGGGAGGCAACAGGGAGTGAGATGAGAATCCAAGACGCACGCTTGGGGGTAGTGGGTCATGTAGGGGAGGCGAGCAAGAGAGGAGGGAGCGAGCAGGGAGTGGGTGAGGTGTTGAGAAGGACAAGTGGAGGAGACAAGCCAACACGTCCCACCGACTGGGGGTACGAAGCCATGTAGGGCAGCGGGTTATGAGAGGAGGGGACAGCTTGGGAGGGGACAGGGAGGGGGTGAGGGGGGGAAGCGGAGGAGAGAACTCAAGACGCCCGCTTGGGGGTAGCGAGCCAAGTAGGGGAGTGGGTTCTGAGAGGAGGGGGGGATTGGGAGGGGGCAGAGAGGGGGTGAGGGGGGAATCGGAGGAGAGAGGTCAACACATCCGCTTCGGAAAGGAGATGTCACACGTCCGCTTTGGGGGGAGTGTGCCAGGTTTCTGAGAGGATGGGGAATATTTGGGAGGGGGAAACGGAGAGATTGGGAGGGTAAAGGATTCTCAGACAAAGGGGCAAGTGGGATGGGACATGTAGGGCAGGGCAGGGGGCTCTGATACACGACACGGTGGCTTTCCACTTGACTCACAAGTGACCTGTGGGACATGTAGGGCAGCGGGTTGTGATGCACGGTGCGGTGCACATGGGGAGAGGGACGGGTGACGATGCAAGCAGCTGCACGCCCAGCAACAGCAAGTGCTTGCCCTCCTACAATACAATACAGTAAGCTCAAGCATCCACGTACCACCCACTCACCCGCCTGCAGCCAGATGGTGTCGGTGTCACGATGAGCGGCTGCACGCCCAGCGATACGAAGTGATTGAATGGCCAGAGGTCGCACAATTCAGTGCGCTCATGCATGGACGTACCTTGACCTGACCCACAATCACACACACCCATACACACACCCATACACACACCCATACACACACCCATACACACACCCATACACACACCCATACACACACCCATACACACACCCATACACACACCCATACACACACCCATACACACACACACCCATACATACACACACCCATACACACACCCATACACACACCCACACACACACCCATACATACACACACCCATACACACACCCATACACACACCCATACACACACCCATACACACACCCATACACACACACCCATACATACACACACCCATACACACACCCATACACACACCCATACATACACCCTTACACACACCCATACACACACCCATACACACACCCATACGCACACCCATACACACACCCATAGGCCCCCCTCACCCCCACCCACACGGTGTCGGCGTCACGATGAGCAGCTGCACAGGCAGCGATACCAAGTGAGTGCAGGTGGCGTGATGATGCAATCACGTCACGTGACCTGGGCACACTCATACTCACTCACACACCCACAGACCTCGCTTACCCTCAGCTGAGCCACACGGTGCTGGTGTCGCACATGAGCACCTGCATGCCCAGCGGGAGGGAATGACAGCAGTAGTATGTGCAGTGCAGTGCAGCGCAGTGCAGTGCAGTGCAGCGCAGTGCAGTGCAGTGCAGTCAAGCACTCACGTCCCCTGGCTGCACACCCACACACACTCAAAATCCCCGCTTACCCTGAACCACACTGAGTGGGTGTCGCATATGAGCAGGGGCACGCGGAGCGAGAGGAAGTGAGTGCGGTGGTACAAGACAGTGCTCTCAAACTTCCATAAACCCTTCTTACTCTCACCCACACAGCGTCAGTGTCGCGTATGAGCAGCTGCACGCCCAGCGAGAGGAAGACGTTGATGAGAGTCACCTTGTCGCACCCCATTGCATGAAACACAGGCGTGCCCCACCCCACCCCGCCCTGCCCGCCCCGTCCCACCCCGTGCTGGCAATTCCTGCAACCAAACAGCCCTCTTCCCCTCGTGGCCTGCTCTCACACACGCATACACACACACACACCACTCACCCGCACCCACACAGTGTCGGTGTCGCATATGAGCAGCTGCACGCCCAGCGAGAGGAAGACGTTGATGAGAGTCACCTTCTCGCGCCCCATGGCATGAAACACAGGCGTGCCCCACCCCGGGTCGTCCGTCGTCATGCCGCTCTCTAGATCAAACACCGGCACGCCCTCCCAGTACAGTGCTTCTAGCAACTTGGTGTCCATGGCGCCTGGTGGGGGAGAGTGGAACAGGCACGAGGGGAGGGGGGGGGGGCATGGGGGGGAACCACGGTGATTGATTTGCAGTGTCGTCATGCCGCTTTCTACATCCAACACCGCCACGCCCTCCCAGTATAGCGCCTTTACGAACTTGGTGCCCATGGCGCCTGGGGGGGGGGTGGAAGAATGGGCACGAGAGGACAGGGGCATGGGGAAGGGTTGAGCCTTCTCCTGTCCGATGGCATGGCGTGGGACACCAGTGTGCCTCACCCGCCCGCCCGGGATCAAACACCGGCACGCCCTCCCAGTACAGAGCTTCTAGCAACTTGCTGTGCATGGCGCGTGGCGGGGGATGAAGGCAGCAGTAGGCAAGTGACAGGGGGAACGCTGTTTCATGTGTGGTGTGGTCTCCAACCCAAGTCAAACACCGGCACGCCCTCCCAGTACAGAGCTTCTAGCAACTTGCTGTCCATGGCGCCTGGTGAGGAAGAGAGTTGGGAGGATGGCGGATTGCTGGGTTAAGCCTTCTCCCTCCCAGTACAGGGTTTCCAGGAATTCGAGTCCATGGCGCCTGATCATGAAGGGGGTGGGAGAAGGCAAGTGACAAGAGGGGATGCACCTTCCCACTCACCCACCCATCTACCCACCCCTCCTCCTTCACCCCACAGCACACAGTGACCCATAAGGATGCTGAATACTCCCAGGTCCGTCAGCTGCCGCACCCAGTTGAGCACAAAGTCGAGAAAGCGACTAGCACAGCACCACCTCAGCACCCCTCCGCACCTTCCCATACTCCCCTCCGCTCACCCTCCCACCCCTTTCCCCCCACAGCACTCACTCACCCACAAGGATGTTGTATACGCCCAAGTCAGTCAGGTGCCGCACCCAGTTGAGCACAAAGTCGAGAAACGCGAAGTTAGCAAACGTCACCACCACCACGTTGCCCCGCTGCCGGTGCTCCACCATCTCCCTGCGAAGGGCGAACTCGCCCCTGGCAGGGACGGCGCTGCCTGGGGGAGGCTTCTCCCAGATCTCCCGCTTCAGGGCGGGCAGTAGGGGCGGCCTCCCCTCGTGCAGGATGGGGCGCACGCCCGTTGCAAACTGCCCCTCGCCAGATGCACCTACGCCTGCAGTGCCACCTGCCCCAGATGCGCCTGCAGGGGGTGAATTTGAGGGGGCGGCTCCTGCAGCTGCGGCTCCAGTAGCCGCTGCTGCTTGAGCATCTGATGGGAGATCCAGGGATGTTCCTGCCGTACCTGAGCTTTCCTGCTTGCCCCCTGCCCCTCCTGCCCCTGCTGCCCCGGCAGCCCCGACAGCCCCTGCTGCTCCTACCTCGTCGTCTCCTACCTCTTCTGTTGCCCCTACCTCGTCGTCTGCTACTCCTGCCTCCCTTGCCTCTCCTGATTCTGTCGCTCCAGCTGATTCTGCTGCTGCAGCTGATCCTGCTGGTGCTTTTTCAGCTGCAGCGGGGTTGGCTGGCGTGGCAGCATCAGGGTCAACGAGGTCAAGAGCCATGAGCGCGACTGACGCTTCCTTGGGCAGACCCTGCAGTGCCGCTGCTTCTAGTCCTGCATGCATGGACAGGGGAGGAATGGAGAGGAGAGGAGAGGAGAGGAGAGAAGAGGAGAGAGCGAGGGTGAGTGTAGGACTAGAGGATAAGTGTGACAAGAGAGGGTGGGCACTGTCAGGGTCAACAAGGTCAAGAGCCATGAGCGCGATTGACGCTTCCTTGGGCAGACCCTGCAGTGCCGCTGCCTCCAGCTCTGCCAGGGGGAGGCAGAGAGGAGAATGTAGACAAGAGAAGGGGGAGGCAGAGAGGAGAATGTAGACAAGAGAAGGGGGAGGCAGAGAGGAGAATGTAGACAAGAGAAGGGGGAGGCAGAGAGGAGAATGTAGACAAGAGAAGGGGGAGGCAGAGGGAAGGTGGGACTAGAGGACGTGCGTGACTAGAGAGGGTGGGCAGCATCAGGGTCAACGAGGCCAAGAGCCATGAGCGCAATGGACGCTTCATTCAGCAGACCTTGGAGTGCTGCTGCCTCGAGGCCTGCACGCATGGGGAGGAGAGGAGAGGATCGACAGGGGAGGGGAAAGGAGTGAGGGTGAGGGGGTGTGTGTGTGACTAGTTGGGGGGGCACTGTCAAGGTCAACGACGTCCAGAGCCATGAGCGCGATTGACGCTTCCTTGGACAGACCCTGCAGTGTTGCTGGATGTAGCCTGGGATAGGTGAAGGGGACGAGCAGAGAGAGGGTGCTAAGCAGGAAAGGAGAGTTGAGAGGGGTAGAGGAAAAAGGATGCGTGACTAGAGAGGGTTGGAAAGAGGGGGTAAGACTGAAGGTGAGACTACTACAGACGGGGTGGGAGTTCAAAAGGTGGGACTATAGAGGGGGTGGGAATTTAGATGGTGGCGATAGCGACTTGGTAGGGGACATGGGAGCGTGGGACTAGCTAGGGTGAGCGGCACGAGCGGCAAGAGCCACGATTGCCATCGATTACTATTAAATACACGGCGCCTCGATCCTTGAATCAATCACGAAACACACCATCCCAGCAAGCTCGAAATCCCGTGCCGCACCTCGCGCGTTGCCGACGGGCCGAATAGCTCCTCCCTGCACGGCAGTCGCGTCCGAGAAGCCCTCTCGGTACTCCTGCAGTCGCGCCTCTAGCTCCCAGTACAGCGGTCGACCCAGATAGTAGAGAATCACCACGATCGCCACGGCTGCGACCACGGTCAGCACACGAATTCGACCCGCCATGCGTTCTAAACAGATTTTTTAATGAATAGATGCAAAAAAAAAAAAAAAAAACTTCGAACACTACAGGACAAGACGACGACTGGCACATGGCGGATCGACGAGACCGGGATGATTGGAGGGTTGGATACTAACTAGGGAAATGGGTCATCTACATCAGAAAACATCTGACCTCCGATTTCAAATTGATAGGAAGTTGGGTTGTACTAGTGTGTAATCGCGGGTGCAGGTTGAGTTGAACGATTGATTGTGCATTGCTGGTCAGTCGCAATTGGTCGAAACTCGAAAAGCTGCCCAACTCAATCTCGTGACACGCGTCCTGTCAACCTGTTTGACATATGCGGGCAGATCGAGGGGTGAATTGTAGGTCCGGCGCAGCCCGGGGGGGGAAATACAGGTTCGGCAGCCAAGTGCTTCGTGTAGAATTTGGTGCGAAATTTCCCAATAGTCAGGAGGGTTTGGGAAGCTTTAATAAAAAATGGATGGTGTTTGTAATAGAGACTGCAGTCCCACTTATAAAAAAATATGCCACTCGTAACCAACATGGGACTCGATAACGTATGTGGTAAAAAAATCACGCGTGCGGTCACTGAATCGGATTTCCTGAAGGGGTTTGGTAAGTAGCACGCCCTCAGAAGTCAGACTTTTTTGTCTAATTTGCATGAAAAACTCTGAGAATTCAGTTTTTTTTAAGTGAACTCTATTAAAATCAGAGATTTTTTGGCCCCAATACAGTAATTTTCAGAAAAATGTTAAGGCTAACTCTGAAATTTCAGAGATATCCGGGAGTGTACTCTGATAATTTAGAGTACAAACGCGTTCTTGACTGGTGATTCGGACTTCACGGGTCACAGCAGATTCGCGCTGTCAACGCAAAATCGCCTTGACACAGCAAATCCGTGCCTTACAGCACAAAATTTGCCCAATCATAGCAAAATCGCCCTGACACAACAGATTTGCGCCGTCAGAGCACAACGATTTCGCCCAATCACCAAAAACATTTCACCTGACATTGCAGATTCGCCCTTTCACACCACAAGATTCGCCATGGCACAAAAATTCGCCCTGCCAGAGCATGTCCTCCCGAAATTCCCTTAGGGTACATTCCGCGCTGGACACTTTCTCAAAGAAAGTGTCCCAATCGAGTGTACCGCTCCGAACCGAACTAAACCAGAGACGCGAAAGTTTCGACAATGTTTAAAACTATGGTGTGGTTCGGTGTAATACGATGCAATGCGGTAGAATCGATTCAGACGCTCTCGATTGGGACAGTGTCCAGAGCGGAATGTACCCTTAGTCTAGCATGTTTCGGTATTAGATTAATGAAACATTGAATACATTTCTGATGAACATTGAATACATTGATTTCGAATGTTCATACTTTTTTTTTAGACACTCTGAAATTTCAGCCTTTTATTATACAAACTCCGAGAGTTTCAGACTAAAACTGTGTACTAGTCTGACGAATCAGACAGGCCAAAAACGAATCTGAGGGCCTGGTAAGTAGGGTCGCGGATTCAGTCACTAACAACAGGTAAAAAATGTTGGGCTGAGAAAAGCCCTTGGAATTTTTTCAGTAACCAAGGCCGTGAAGTGTATTAGCGGAAGTGTTCTAGTGAAGGCCTGATCGAACCACCTTGTACTGGTGTGAGAGAACAAGATAAGTTGATTATAATGCAAATATACAAGGTTTATATAAGATTACAAGAATATAATAGAAACCGCTTTGTGTTCAACCGTAATTGTAACTTCTAGTGTGGCTCGATACAGCGACGACTCGGGTAACTGCTCAATGTCGAGTTCAGTTATTTGTCCTTGCTGTCGCGCGGTCTCGGCGAGTCAAAGGTCGCTGACCTTTGACCTTCGCTTTAACTTCCCGTTGTTGTCCTTTTTGTCATCCGCTTCACTATAGCTCGGTTGACTCGGTGTTGCTTCGCTTAGGGCTTGTTTCGTTCTTGTTGTAGTGCTCGACATTCCAGAAGCGCATTATATGTTTCCAACACTCCCCTTCGCTTCTGGAGTGTTGTCACCCTCGATGTTGATGACGTGGTCTTGTCCAGTCAGCATCATGCAGTACTCGAACTTCTGCTTTCCGAGTTTCTTGGTCAAGTAATCTACAGCCATCTCGGATGTGGGCCAGTAGGATAACTCGAGTCTTCCTTTCTTGGACTCATCCTTCACGAAGAAATATTGCAGAGCGATGCGCTTTGTTCGGTTCGCGAACCCGCTCTTGTTCGCTATGCGAATTGCCGATTGGTTGTCGCAGAAGAGGGAGAAGCTGGGTAACTGGGCTAGGTTTTCTTCTTCCATCAGTTCGCGAAGGTACAGCCCTTCCTTGGTGGCTGTGCAGAGTGCGATGTACACTGCTTCAGCAGAGGAGAGAGCAATCCTCTCTTGATTGCTCGACTGCCACGAGATAGGACTGACGGGTTTGAGTTGGTAGATGTAGCCGATGCGCGACCGTCTGTTGTCGGAATCGCCAGTGTGATCGGCGTCTACATAGCCGATTAGTTTCGAGGTTGTAGATCCAGTCTTGTGGTAGGTTAGGCCGATCGTGGGTGTGCTGACGAGGTAGTGAAGTGCGCGGTCGAGCTCCGCCATGTGCTCTGCTTCGGGTCTTTTGAGGTAGGTGGCGAGTTGGCTCGCCGAGTAGGATAGGTCTGGTCGGCAGGTGACGGCTGCGAAGAGTAGGCATCACAGTTTACGTTGGTAGTCGCGTAGGCCGGCAGGTCCGAGTGGATTAGATCATTCCTAGTGACTTCTCGCGGTGTAGCGATAAGGCGGGGAGATGGCGGTAGGCGTCAGTCCGAAGTGTTTCGCGATGGTGTCGGCGTACTTCGCGGCACTGAGATAGATTGCGTTTTCTCCGTCCAGAATGTTTAATCCCATGTACTGAGTTACGGTGGTAGAGACCGTGCGGGAGAGGTCCTGCTGTCGCTCTTCTTCGAACCAGGTGGTGATGCCGTCGGTGGAGCTGATGTATAGCAAGTCGTCCACATAGACGATAAGCAGAATCTAGTCCGTTGCTTTCGTGAGTCGGTACATCCCCTGATAATGCGGGAGCTGTTGGAATCCGATGCGGATTAATCGGGTGTGTAGGTACTGATGCCATAGCCGCGGAGCTTGCTTGATCCCGTACAATGACTTCAGCAGCTGACAAACCAGGTTGGGGTCTTTGATGGAGCCGTGCGGCTGTTCGACGAAGATTTCTGCGTCGACTGGGGCATAGAGAAAGGCGTTTGCTACGTCAATTTGACAAAGCTTCTTTCGTTTCATGGCGGCGATCGCGAGAAGGATTCGAAGTGGGGTATGTCGGCTGACCGGTGCAGATGTCTCGGTGAAGTCCCGTCCGTGCTGTTGATCGAAGCCACGCACGACCCATCGTGCATTGAATTTGTCAGTCGTTCCGTTTGCTTTTGTCTTCACGCGGAACTTCATTTTCCCCGTAAGAATGGTCTTCTCATGTGCTGCTGTGTTTGGGACCATCTTTCCCGTGTTGCGTTCTTTCAAGGCCTTTTATTTCTCTATCCATGGCTTCGCGCCATTTTTCCCTGTGCTCCCCCCCCAGAGCCTGCTGGACTGTAGTAGGCTCTCGCGGCGGCGATGCCCCATGGACAGCAGTAATGAGACCAAGTATCTGCAGTCCACTCTGTGAGAGTCGGGGGAGATTTGCGTCCTCGGGATAAACTGCTTCGTCTCCCGCTTCTGGGTCAGGTAAGAAGTTGGGGCTGATACATTTTGAAACATTGGTGTTGACTGGCTGGGGTGTAATGTAACCATTGTCGGCGAAGTCGTAGTAGACTTCGGCGTTGACACTTTCGTGAGGGTTGTCATCATCCATCGGGATGGGTACTGAGCAGTAGAGCAGAGGTCCGGCTTCCTCTGAAGCTCCGTCCATGTTCTGCTCATCCCACTTAGCTTCGTCTATTCACGAGGCGAAGGCTCGGTTGCCACGGAAACCGTCCGTGGGGTCTCTTTCAGCTTCCAGGTTGGCCAAGTAAGTCTGAAGGGTGAGTCAGGTTCTCGTAGAAGATAACGTCACGTGCTGCTACTGTTTCTTTTGAGAGGACGGCGAATATCTTCCACATGTTGTAGTGTTTTTCGATGCCCGAGTGTAGTCCCTACTGTGCGCGTTGTGAAAATCGCCCGGCTCGTGCAGTGTGCAGCCGGTACTGTACCATGCAGCCGAACACTCGTAACATTTTTGTGTTGCCCAATTTTCCTGTCCACAGCAGATGCGGTGATGCGTTGTTCGGGAGTGACGACGACGAAAGCAAGTTGTGCAGCATGACAGCATGGTCCATTGCTGCAGGCCACTGGCTCTCAGGCAGCCGCATGCCACGTAGCAGCTTGCGCATGGTGTTCTAGAGGGTTCTGCTCATCCTTTCTGCCACACCTTGCTGTTGATAAGCATAGGGGAGGGAGATGAGTCTCTTGATGCCTCTCTCCCCGACAGGTGCTGCTTGGATCTTTATGACTGATATTCCCCTCCCCCGTTTGACTGGAAGCTTTTTTGTTTCTCTCCACTCTCCCATTCTACTACTGGGAGCCATGCGACGAAGGCTTCGAAGGCCATGTCGCGGCTTGGCAGGTTGAGATGCCAGACGTACCTGGTAGTAGCATCGATGAAGGTATGACGTAGTTGTAATCACCTTATCCACTTTGGTGGGCGTACAGTATGTCGCTGTAGACTTTCTCCAGTGGTGCGTATGCTGGTGCGCTTGGGTTGTGGTGAGAGACGAACGGCTGATGGGGTAAGTCAGCTACGGGGCAGGTAAAGCAAGTTCCTCGAACTCGTTGTAGTTCTCTGCCGTCGGGTAAGAGCAGAGAGTCTTTGTCAAGAACTCCTGCTCTGATTGTGTTCTTCAGTGTCGTGTTTCTGGGGTGGCTTAACCTTTCATGCCACAGTAATTCACTTGCGCGATGTCCAGGTGATCTTCTGTATAGGTCGGATTTGGAGTAGAAGCCGACGGTGATGTTGGCACTTCGGTGGATGGCGTGTG